AAAGAGAATCTCAGTTGTTGAAGACTCTCTAGAGGATATACAGTCATTGACCAAAGAAAATCTCAAGTCCAACAAATCGCTGACACAAAATATCCAGGAAATATGGGACACCATGAAAAGACCAAACCTAAGAATAATAGATATAGAAGAAGGTGAAGAAATACAGCTCAAAGGTACAGGAAACATATTCAACAAAATCATAGAAAAAAAACTTCCCCAACCTACAGAAGGATATGCCTATGAAAGTACAAGAAGCTTACAGAACACCAGACTGGACCACAAAAAGAAGTCCCCTCAACACATAATAATCAAAACACCAAATTTCTGAAAAAAGCCATATTTCTGAAAAAAGCTTGGTAGTGGCACAAAAATAGACAGATAGACCAATGGAATCCAATGGAAAATTTAGACCAATGGAATCGAATTGAAAACCCTGATATTAACCCACACACCTACCAACACCTTATTTTTGACAAAGATACTAAATCTATACAATGGAAAAAAGATAGGACCTTCAACAAATGGTGCTAGCACAACTGGATTCAGACATGCAGAAGATTCCAGATAGATCCACACCTGTCAGCAGGCACAAAACTTAAGTGCAAATGGATCAAAGATCTCAACATAAATCCAGCCACACTGAATCTTCTAGAAGAGAAAGTGGGAGATACTCTTGAACAAATTGACACAGAAGACTGCTTCCTGAACATTACGCCAGTAGCACACAGACACTGAGTTCTGCAATTAATAAATGGGACCTCCTGAAACTGAGAAGCTTCTGTAAGGCTAAGGACACAGCCAGTAAGACAAATCGACGGCCCACAGAATGGGAAAAGATCTTCACCAACCCCACATCTGACAGGGGGCTGATTTCCAAAATATACAATGAACTCAAGAAGCTAGCCACCAGAACACCAAACAATGAAATTAAAAAGTGGGGTACAGAACTAAATAGAGAATTCTCAACAGAGTAATCTGAAATGGCTAAAAGACACTTAAGAAAGTGCTCAAAATCCTTGGCCATCAGAGAAATGCAAATCAAAACATCTTTGAGATACCATCTTACACTGGCCAGAATGGCTAAGATCAAAAACACCAAGACAATCTATGCTGGAGAGGATGTGGAGAAAAAGGAACACTCCTCCATTGCTGGTGGGAGTGCAAACTTGTAAGACCACTTTGGAAATCAGTATGGCAGTTGCTCAGAAAAATGGTTATCAGTCTACCTCAAGATTCAGCCATTCCTCTCTTGGGCATATAACCAAATAATGCACGTCCACAGAACAAGGACATATGTTCAACCATGTTCATAGCAGCATTGTTTGTAATAGCCAGAACCTGGAAGCAACCTAGATGCCCCTCAACTGAACAATGGACAGAGAAATGTGGTACATTTATACAATAGAGTACTACTCAGCAGAAAAAAGCAATGGAATCTTGAAATTCCCAGGCAAATGGATAGAACTAGAAGAAACCATCCTGAGAGGTAGGGATGAGGTAGGGTAGGGGAGAGGGAGCTACCAGAATGAGAGGAGGATAAGAGGAGGGAAGACGAGCTGCCACAATGAGAGCAGGAGAAGAGGAGTGGAGGAGAGGAAATGGAGGAGCAGAAATGTTGAGTTGGGGGAAGAATAGAGGAGAGCAAGATAAGAGATACCATATCAGAGGGAGCCATTATAGGTCTGAGGAGAGATCTGGCACTAGGGAGATATCCAGAGATCTACAAGGATGACACGAACTGACAATCTAGGCAATGGTGGAGAGGATAGCCTAAATGCCCTTCCCCTATGATGAGACTGATGACTACTTTTTTATGCCATCCTAGAGCCCTCATCCAGTGGCTGATGGAAGCAGAGGCAGACAACCACAGCTACACACTGATCTGAACTCTGGAACCTAGTTGCAGAGAGGGAGGAATGAAGATCAAAGGGGTTGGTACCAGGCTGGTGAAACCCACAGAAACAGCTGGCCTGAACAGCTGTTTTGTTTTTGGATCTGTGGGCTTGTCCCACGCAGGGAAAACGCCCTAAGTAGAGATATAACTCTCACTCTAAAGCACAAGGACCTTTCCTAACTCAGCAGCCAGAAGGACGGTAAACATGAAATTAGATTTAGCCATACTATTTCAGAGACGGACCAATAACAAAATCAGACTGTAAAAATTGATTCTTCAGACATTAGTTTACAATTTCAGTGAAGAAACTTCTTGGAGAAATAACCCTCCTCCTGAAGGCCCCCTTGAACCCAGTACTACCTCATTTCACACACAATGGTCTACAGACTCCACCCCAACTCTATTCTTAGATCCCCAAAATGTTAACAATGTTAGCACCCTGCCACCAGCTTGACACAGAGAAAGGAGCTGGGAGAGGAGGGGAGGGCTGGGAACAATGGGAGGCAGAGGCCAAAGGATCAGAAGTTCTGTATCAGCCTCAGTTACATGATAAATTGAAGCCAGCTGGGGCTACTTAAGACTCTGTCAGAAAAGCACAATAGAATAAAAATAAAGGTGGAGGGGGAAAAGGGAAAAGGAAAACTTTCCAAGCAAATCCCAGGGCATTATAAACCAAAAGGGGCCATAAGGGTGTCTGTCACCTCACTGAAAAACCTGCATCTTAAGTTGTGTTTTTCCTTATTGGAATATTCCTGAATGTTTCAGTTCTTTAAAAGCACCACAAAAGTTATTACATTTTAGTCTTTAAACAGGAATTTTAGCTACCCAAACCATACAGTATGAAGAGGCTAGAAATGTGTTTAAGCCCAGGGGTGCACACCTCTAGAGGCAGGCAGATCTCTGATTTCGAGGCCAGCTTGGTCTACAGAGTGAGTTTCAGGACAGTCAGGGCTACACTAAGAAACCCTGTCTTGAAAAACCGAGGGGGGGGGCAATGTATTTAAATTAATCGTATTTTGAGGTTTCTGATAATTCCCAGGAATATTGATTTATTGTCCCTGAACCTCAAAAAGTAGCATGGTGGGAATTTGAAAACTTGCTTTTTCTCACTATGTTATAATTCTAAAATGTAGTGTTGCTGCTAAATAAAAAGTACTTTTATAAAAGAGAAGTCAGAAACTTGAGCTTCCCTTCTAACACCAAGAGAGGTAGAAGAGGGGGTGGTGGTGGGAGGGGCTTAGACTCATTCAGTGTCAGAACCATTAACATTAAGGTCAAAGAGCTAAACACTAAAGACAAAGAGCTGCAAATTATTTAACATGCTCCTACTCAACCATGCAAAAAAAGAAGAATATCACAAAAAATGCAATAGGAACACAGTAAAGTTAGTGTTTATAGGACTAACATACAAGAAATAGTGATTCCTCAATGTAACTCATAGAAAAGATAGCATGCATGAAAATTCAAAACTATAGTAAACAAAACTATTAAATACCCAAAAACAAAATTAATTAATAAAAGGTAGAAATAAAGTCAACTGTCCTATATAGGGAGCCAGCAAGTGCCCCTCAGGGTTTAAAGGTTTCTGAACATCGCTATGATTCATGTCTGTATTCCCAGTTCAGGGGAACCAGGCAGAACTGCTGTAAATTCAAGGCTGTGTGAGTGAAAGCCACTCTATACCACCAAGCCAGACCCTGCACCAATGAAAGCCAGGCTGCACCACCAAGGGAGGCCCTGTCACAGACAAACAGATTGTTGAATCACCAGGAAGAAACGATCTAAGAACAAGTCAGAGCCTGGTTCAGGCAAATGACCCCAGAGAACCCATGGCTTCTTCCCGGTGACATTCTGGGTCTGGTCAGGACCTGCATCTCCCTGCTCCATTCTAAATCATGGGAATCTGGCACAAGACGTTCAGGTTTCCAGGCAGAGAGGTGAGAGCCTGAGCTGCTCGGGAATCAACTGAAATGTCAGGCAGGGAAAACGGCCTCTAAAAAGACTGCAGGTAACGCTCAAAAAGCTTTTAGCAGAAACAACGCCAAATGTATGAATGGAAACAAAAGAGAAAATAAAGCTCTTACATTATTTTGGAATAGAATCAAAAGGACAAACATTCTGTAATGTTTTTATGTCATTAAGAAATTCCCATACACACAGTCCTTAATATTTCAGATTTGGGGGCTGGAGAGAGGACTCAGAGGTTAAGAGCACTGACTGCTCTTCCAGAGGTCCTGAGTTCAATTCTCAGCAACCACATGGTGGCTCACAACCATCTGTAATGAGATCTAGTGCCCTCTTCTGGCCTGCAGGCATACATGCAGGCAGAACATTGCAGACATAATAAATAAATAAATAAATAAATAAATAAATAAATAAATCTTTTTTTTTAAAAAAAAAGACATATATATTTCAGATTCGCTGGCCTTTACTTGATTTCAGGGCTACTATTTCTTTCTAGACAAAAATAGTGTCCTAAAAAAAATATGATGTAGCCAGTGTGGTGGCACAAGCCTGTGATCCCAATACTTGGGTGGCAGGGGCAGGAGAGAGGATGTCACTGTCATCTCTGACAACATATGAAATTTCTCAAAACCATGAGGGAGGAAGAACAAACATTTATAATGTAAACATGTGGTTTGAAGCACCAGAGAAACATCTGTTCACATAGTAATAACTGATATTGTAAGGGTCCTCACCTATAAATTCATGAAGGTCACCTAAGGACTTTTCTGGATAACACTTCATTAGCCAAATAATTATGAGTATATACAGCTGGAATAGTAAAATGAACATCTGTTTTTAAATAATGCTTTAATTTATGCCTTTTGTTAAATCAACCCCACTTTTATACCTTATTATCGATTACTGAGGTTTTTTATATAACAAAAATAAACAGCCCTCTGCTAAATTGAAAATAGGATCCCTGTTGTAGCCAGGTGTGATGACAAATGCCTGTGACCCATCATTTGGGAGACAGAGTGGTAGGACTGCTGTGAGTTTGAAGGCAGCCTGAGATACACAGAAAATACCAGACTAGCTATGATTCATACTAAGACCCCATCTCAAAACACAAAAACAAAGAAATGCTTTCTCCTGTTCTTACCTTGGCTGTTTTCCATTCCCAACCATCGCCTATCTGTTGTGAATGTTTGATGAATTCTGCACAATAATGTTGGAAGCTTTTTTCTCCAAAGAACTCATCTTCCATGTTAAATGAGAACTGCAATAAAAAAGAAAAAACTTATGTGAGAACAGGACAGGAAACCGTCCTCCGGATCAGTCATGGGAGTTTTCTCTTTCCATATTCTTGCCCTGTCTTCCTTCATGATTTACACCAGAAAATCTAAAAGCCTCCACTTACAACAAAGTTTCTATCTATGGAGCCTTCTTTGTTGGATTTTTGGTTGCTCAAGAGGAATTCTTGTATGGTTTTCTTTTTGAATTGCTGGGCATTTAACCCAGGGCCTCAAATGTGCTAAACATATACCCTACAAATTAATGGATCATTCGACTAGACATTCTGGGATGTTTGTTTTTATGATGACAAGGATGATGTTGAATGTAATAAAAATCCTCACTGTTAATTTTACCTGATTCTGAGATAATGCTCTCTAATATGTTCCTCAGAACATGCCTCCTTCCTCCCTCAGCTCTTACACTTAAGTGTTACAGTGATGCATGGAGGCCAACTGCCCTTCACACTTTATTAGAAGGGTCAACCCTCCAGCAAGAGCTGTTGCAAAGCTTGAAATTGCTTTCCAAGGTATAAAGTTAATTAATTACTACTAGATCAAACTCACAAATGTGACATACCAAGAAATACATATTTGCTATAGAAAGCTGTTCAAAACATAAAATATTGTTTACAGAAAGAATTTTAGCACACAAGAAAAATGCCAGTTCATGTGGTTGAGGCCTCTCAATGAGAGAAGTTAGATGTAACAAACGCTCATTGTTAATTAGCTATGAGCATCAAGACTGTTGCTTATTTTATCAACTTCTGTGGTAGATACTTCACTTCTCCACTCAATCCCCTCACAGCCCCAAAGGTGCATCATCTCCATTCCTTAGATGAAAAATCAAAACGAATCTGTTCCCAAAATAAGCAAAAAGGGATTCAGGGCCATGATCTGTTTATACACACCAATTCCCAACCCATTATGCAGACTATTCAAACTTAGCATAACCTGTATAAGAATGTGTCTATTCACCCAATAATAAAAGTTGAATGTGTATTAAATAGGCACTATGCATAGAGAAAAGTTAGATATGAAAAAAGCAGTTTGCCTTGTAAGAGCTCATGTTCTAAGAAAGGGAAATTAACAATAAAAACAATTTCAGTAGGAACTGCCCTAACCAGCCTCCACTGACCACTATGCAGATTCACTGAGACTGCTTGCAGCCTTGCAGAGGCACAAGTCTTGCAACAGCACACCGATTCTGCAGCCTTGCAGAGGCACACCGATTCTGCAGCCTTGCAGAGGCACACCGATTCTGCAGCCTTGCAGTGGCACACAGATTCTGTAGCCTTGCAGAGGCACACAGATTCTGCAGCCTTGCAGTGGTACACAGATTCTGTAGCCTTGCAGAGGCACACAGATTCTGCAGCATGATGATCATAAGGCACTCTGCTCCTGACAGATGTGTCTGTTCACAAACAATATTATCCTATCATAAATATGGAGCTTAATTAAACAAACCAGTAAGATATAAGAAGACAACTGTAATTTCTGCAGTTGTATATATTGTAAATGCCTCAATAAGGGTCAAATAAAGGTATACCTCTATATGAAAAGCAAACTGCTAATGAGCAAGATTAAGGACAGTGTAACTGAAAACAAACAAATCCATGCTTCTACATTCAATCAGCATTATGAGTGGCTTGAGATCTTCCTTTTAAATCAAAATTAGAAGTTTAGATGGTCAAGAACAAACTATGATGTGGGTGTGGTGGCATACCTATGATTCTAGTACCTGAGAGATGGAGGCAGGAGGATTAGGAGTTCAAGGCCATCCTCTTCATCATAGATGTCAAAGCCAGCCTGGGCTATATGAGAGTCTATCTTTAAAAGGAGGCGGGGGAGGGGCGTGGACAATAAATTTCACGTACCTACACGTAAAGGAAAATGGATTCTTTGGCCACAGATTCTAATTTTAACATACATTTTAATATTTTACATTTTAATTAATTTTTCCAGCATAAGAATATTTTCTTTTTTATGAAACAGTCTTCCTATATAGTCCAGGCTGGTCTGAAACTCACTGTATAGATGAGGCTGGCCTGAAGCTCATGGCTATCCTCCTGGCTCTGTTTCCCAAGTACTGTGATTACAGGCACACACTATCATGCCTGGCTCTCACGGGGTTTGCCTGTTTGTTTTTGTTTATTTGTTTGTCTGTCTGTTTTTGAAACAGGGTTTCACTCTGTAACCCTGGCTAGCCTGAAACTTGCTATGCAACTAAAGCTAGACTCAAACTGTCAAAATGTGAGCCTCAAGCCTCTGCCTTCTAAATGCTAGGATAACAGGCAAAGACACACTGACCCCCAATCTGGCCATATTCTTAATATGGCTTCTGGGAACACAAGACACTACACACCCTAAATTTTATGTGTATGTAGCTGTCCATATTTCTCCTGGGAATCATGTGTAATTTCCCACAGGTGTCTCTCAGGTCCTATCCAAATGTAAGAACCTCCATGCATAGGGGAAGGAGAGAGGCTGAGATAAACCCCAGAACACCAACACTTAAATACCTGTAGAAGGTGCCTCAGAGAACCAGCAACGACCTAGAGAGTAAGGAAATAGCATGTGGAGATCCTGGGAATGTCTGAGTCACAGAGCTAGGGACAAGGCTTTCTAGGAAACAGCATAACGACATCAAAGAATATAGATCCTGGCCTATATGCCAACAGAAAGCCCCTGCTATTGTGGAATATTATTTAAAGATGTGTTACATTTGTTTATGTTGTGGAATATTTGTTTAATAATGCAATGTTTTGCATTCTTTTATGTTATATTTGTTTAACTCTGTGAAGCTGTGTTACTTTGCCTACCTAAAACAACTGACTAGTTTAATAAAGAGCTGAATGGACAGTAGCTAGGCAGGAAAGGGATAAGTGGGGCTGGCTAGCAGAGAGAACAAACAGAGAAAAAGGGAGAAAAGGGGTAATGAAAGAAGAAAAGAGGACATCAGGGGCCAGCCACACAACCAGCTATGGAGTAAAAAGTAAAGAATGGTTTATAGAATAAAGAAAGATAAAAGCCCAGAGGCAAAATGTAAACTGAGATAATTTAAGTTAGAAAAGCTGGCTAGAAGCAAGCTAAGCCAAGGATGGTCATTCATAAGTAAGAATAACAGCTGGGTGGTGGGCCCCTCAAAGAGAAAACAGAAACAGAAACAAAAACAAAACAAAACAAAAAAAAACTATACCCTTCTTTACCAGAGGCCACACCAGTAACCCTAACCCAGGTAAGACCCACTCACAGACTACCAACACTTCCTCAGAGCCCACCCAGCCTTACCCCAACAAATCCCCCATCCCATCCTGTCACCATATCCAGGCCCACAACACTGCTCTACCAGATGTCATGCCAGTTCCCAGAACCTCAGAATCCCGGAGGCCACACAGGCTGCCAAAACCCCAGTGAGGACCTGCAAGTCACCAGAACCAAAGCCAGAGAGGAAACACAAAACAACGGGAAAAAAATCCATCCAACAAAACAAACTCAGAAATCAGCACCCAAACCTATTAATTACCCCAAACCCAGATGCCTAAAAGACAGCATAAGAACACAGTCAACAAAAGGGCAATATGTCACCACCAGAGCCCAGCTATCCTACTACAGCAAGCCCTGTATATACCAACATAGGTGAAGCACAAGAAAACCATACAGGTCCTTAAAGAGGAAATGAATAAATCTCTTAGAGAAATGCAAGAAAACAGAATGGGAGGAAACAAATAAATCTCTTTTAAAGAGCCAAAAAAAAGTTAAAGGAAATGAATAAAAATGTTCAAGATGTGAAAATGTAAATAGAAACAATAAAGAAAACCCAAACCAAAGGAATCCTTGAGATGGAAAAAAAAGGTAAGCGAACAAGAACTACAGACTTAAGCATCACTAGCGGAATACAAGAGATGGAAGAGAAAACATCAGGCATAGAAGATAAAATAGAAGAAATTGACACATCAAAGACAACGTTAAATCTAAAAAATTTCTCTCTCTCACACACACAGGAAATCTGGGACACTATGAAAAAACCAAACCTAAGAATAATAGAAATAGCAGAAGAAAAATCCCAGCTCAAAGACCCAGAAAACATTTTTAACAAAATCATAGAAGAAAAGTTTCCTAACCTCAAGAAGGACATGCCTAAAAATGCATAAGAAGCTTACAGAACACCAAATAGACAGGAAAAGAAAAGAAAGTTTTCCTGCCACATAATAATCAAAACAATAAACACACAGAAAGAATATTAAAAGCTACAAGGGAAATAAGGAAAAAGGCCAAGTACCATACAAAGGCTGGCCTATTAGAATTATACCTGACTTTTTAATGGAGACTCTAAAAGTCAGAAGGGCCAGGACAGATGTCTTGCAGACTCTAAGAAACCATGGATGCCATCCTAGGCTATTATACCCAGCAAAACTTTCAATCACCATAGATTGTATTTTCTTCAAATAAGATATTCTATGACAAAGTCAAATTTAAACAATATCAATCCACAAGCCCATGATTTAAAGTTAGAATTCAACAACAACACAAATTGCAGAAAGCCTACAGACTCCTGGAAATTGAACAATGCACAATTGCACCACTCTTAGGTCAAGGAAGAAATAAAGAAAGATATTACAGACTTCCTAAAATTCAATGAGAATGCGGACACAACATATCCAAACCTATGGGATACTTTGAAAGCAGTGCTAAGAGGAAAGATCATAGCGCTAAATGCCCACATGAAGAAACATGAGAATAATCACACTAGAGAATTAACAGCACAACTGAAAGCTTTAGAAAACAAAGAAGCCAATACACCCCGGAGGAGCAGACACCAGGAAATAATCAAATTGAGGGCTGAAATCAATAAAATGGAAACTTGGAGAACAATACAAAGAATCAATATAACAAAGAGTTGGTTCTTCGACAAAATAAAAAAGATAGACAGACTTTTATCCAAACTTACCAAACAACAAACAGTGAACATGCAAATTAATAAAAT